TGCCCTTGACCAGAATTGAACCCGGGACCCTTCAGTCCTAGGGCTGACACTCTGTCCACTGAGCCAAACCCACGTGGACTCTCCCACTGATTTTAAATGGGCCTGCTGGCCACGAGTTTGACATGCTTGCTCTATTTCATCGTATGACAGTCTGTAAACCTTGCCCTAAATTAGTACCCTACTGGTGTATATGAATAATTTATAAATAAATATGCTTGATTGGGGAATATGATCTTAACACAAAGTCTGGCATATTTTTAAATTTTACTTCTTGCTATTGTATTGCCTCTTGCACTCCTCATTATAACAGATTCATCTTGAATCCTGGGGGAGGGAGGAGGGTTAGCTACCAAAGTATAACTTGAATTTTGCTACAGATAACATAGTCTCCTTGCATGGACTTTGAATATGGAGTATCTATTACTTAATTCTGTTAGTTTTCTTTGTTTCTCAGTTTTCCTGAGGAATTCTAAAAAGAAGTTTTAGGATAATATGCCTCTAATAACAGAGAGACTAATGTTTTATACATACTATATTAATCAATGGTCTGCTAGCTTGCTATTGATCTGTTTAACATTTATTTCCTATTGAAACGGGTACAGATATGGAGTCCTTACTATGAATTGAACAAAACTTGAACTTTTGAATTTTATGCTTGTATCATCAAGTTCCAAGAAGTCTGGCTCAAGAATGTTTGGTTTGTTTATTTTAAAATTTGAGATCCAGGATATTTGTATCCTGGATTTTTAAAATCTTGGTCTCTTAGCTGATTCCTACTTCTCTCAGTCTAACCCAGCGGTTCTCAACCTGTGGGTCGCGACCCCTTTGGCGGTCACGGTCTAACGAACCTTTCACAGGGCACCTAAGACCATCCTGCATATCAGATATTTACATTATGATTCATAACAGTAACAACATTACAGTTATGAAGTAGCAACGAAAATAATTTTATGGTTGGTTCACAACATGAGGAACTGTATTTAAAGGGCCAGAAGGTTGAGAACCACTGGTCTAACCTTTGGCAGCTCAAGACAGTGTGTTAAAGATAGCATGAAAATTCTGAACTTGTTTCCTTAAAAAGAAGATAATCATACTTAATGCTTTGTGTAGGTTATTTCCTTTAATCCCTAACACAAGCATAAGAGAGGCATTCTTATCTTAAATTTAGCTAGGGAAACTGAAGTCAGGGAGATTTAATAATTTGCTAAATATCCCGCCCTTAGTAGGATCACGAAGCTGTGTGACACTGGGCATGTCTGACTCCAGAATTATATTCTAGTTAACTGGCCTCAGAAAAGCATCCTAGCTTTGTCATAGACCGACTTTAGTGCTTATCGTACAGGTGAGTTGGGAATGTCAAGTTTTCTTGCCTCTTTCGTATCATAGTCTGTTGATGATCCTGAGGAAATTTAAACAAATTGGATGAGGCTCAAAGTATTTCCTTGGGACATGGCTGCAGAACTGTGGCTTTACCTTGTTCTTCAGTGCAATACAGCTTCCAGGTGAAGGTGGACATGGTCTTCGCTTCTTCAGAGGAAAATGCATGTGTAGCATTTTAAGAATGAATATTGGACCCAAGTTTCCTGCCAGCAGAGTGGGGTGTCTAATCGGAGGCAAACCAGATCGGATCCACGTAGGCATTGGAAGCCTGACTTGTATCTAGAAGGACGGCTCCAAGGGGAAGTTGAGGATGACATTACTCCGTGTTACTGTAGAGATTGGAGTGAAGTTGCTTTGACTAATAAACTAATAATAACTGTTTCCCATATCTTTATTTCCTTACTTCTTTCACCCTAAGAGTAAATAATTAAAACCAAAAAATTTATGTCTTGAGTATTATGGAATGTGTGTTGCTCTAAATGGAGAAAAGGAGGATTTTAGGGGAAAAAATCTAGACAATTCTGTTCTTAAAGAAGAGAGATCCGTTTCCTATTTGGAAGCATGCCAGTCATTTTTGTAGATGGAAATCTAATCGAATCAGCAAGATATGGCAGTATTTTGTGCCAGTGAAGGATGTTCCTAGTTCTTAGAAATATATGAGCAGCAAAACAAGAATTGAGTGCTAAGGGGTCTTCCTGTTCCCTCTGCAGTCCCTCATTTTGGATTGTTTACTTTTGCTCTGTGGTTTCTGCAGCATCCGTATTATGTGACTGTATTTACTCACATGTACTTCCCCTTGCGTGGTATCTTTCCTCACATTTGTAAAGAAAGTATTTTAAAGCTCATTTATTTTCCCCATTTGGTTGTCAGCAGCAGGAAAAGCTGCTGAAGGTGGGGTCAGAGCCAGCGTGAAAATGAGGGCCTGTGAGCTTGAAAGGAAAGAGTGAGTTTCTGCTGTCCCTGCTGCCAGAGTGACCTCAGGCCGACACCTTCCCCTCTGCCATTTGCAGAAGTTGGGCAGGATACAAATGTGTTACTCTCAAAAATTACAAAATACCACTATGTTGTATGTACAATATTCTATTGCTTGCTCTTTTTAAAAAGACAAGAGAAGAAAATATTTGCCAAATTTTTAAAATGTGGTTTTAAAATCTATCTTTACATTTTAATCTTAAAAAGTGTTTTATTTACTGGATGTTCTTATTTTGGGTATTTTTTTTCCCTGCAGTTAGTAATATTCTGTTGCTGAGAAAGATCTCTATTCAGTATTATTTGTGAAATCTGTAGGAACCTAATGATGTTTCTGCCATATTGTTTTTAAAACATTTAAAATAAAGATTTCGAGCTTTTTAAAAGCAAGTTTTTCTTTCAGAATTTAAACCTTCGTACCACTGTATTTTCACCTAAATTCCATTGTGTGAGTTGTCTGGTATTTTATTAAAAACCTATTCCATCCTATTTGACCCTAACCAGACCAGTAAGATTGAGGCATTGCACAGAGGTGGTCTTTCGTAGGACTGTAGCCACAAATGTCAGTTCTGTGACCAAATAATCACCACTGTGGATTGGGAGCCTGACTTGGGAGCAAGACACATTCCCACTGTTCATGGAGTTTAAAGACTGTGTGTGCTTTAGGGGAAAAGACCAACTGAATACAGAGGTTTATGAACCCTGACCTGTGAACCAAGGTCAGGGTTCATTTCTCAGTCAGGGCCTGTGTCCAGGTTTCGGACTCGATCCCCAGTAGGGGGCATGCAGGAGGCAGCCAGTCAATGATTCTCTCTCATCATTGATGTTTCCCTCTCACTTCCTCTCTCTGAAATCAATAAAAATCTTTTTTTAAGTGTAACTTTAATACTTGAGCTGTTTAGAAATTACTTTAATTTAAATAATGTAGAATTTCGATCAGTACCGGTTGCAGTCCGAGGGGCTGTTGTCTTTTTGACTTCAGTGCTGACTTTCCATGTTAGTTAGTGGTACCGGTTCCATTTGCTCTATGATGTAGATCAGGTTGCATCTAGGCGTGCCTCTCTTTCTCTGTATTACATGGTGCTGTGTGAGAATGCCTCTCAGATTTTTCTTTTAATAATAACAACAGCACAAGCAGACACAGTCTTCTCAGTAAGTGCCAACTTCCTCGGGAAAACAGAAGTGCGGTGTACATCGTTACATAACCTAGTTTCTCTGGTGTTAAAATTTTAGCATTTGAGAGCTATTGGGAAGTCTTTGCACAGAACTGTGGGCCCTTGTGTTTTCCTGTCTTTGGGTAGAGATGGATCTTTGTCCACATCCCCATAAGAAAGCACAGTGACAGCTGGACTGTGTCATGAAGTTTCAGGCATGGCTCACTGGTGTTGGTTTGACTCATAGTCCTGACTCCCAGCACAGAAGGTTGTCTTATGGATCAGTTCATTGCATTGACACCTGCATACAATTACCAAATAAAATAGAGAGCACCCAAGTAAATGTGAATTTCAGGTAAACTAGGGTGTAAACTTACACTAAAAAGTTACTCATCATTCATCTGAAATTCACATTTAACTGGCCATCCTATATTTTATTTGGTAAATCTGGCAACTGTGTGCCTAATAATTCATATAAAGTAATGTCATTGTGGAGATGAGCAATATTTCTCCTTCTGTAGGAATCACCTAAACCTTTAAGGTTGGGAAGTCTTCTTCGTAATTATTTCTTCAGTGCTCTCCTCCCATACATCCAGATGAAAATATATATGGCATGTAGCTCATTGTTTCACATTCCTGACAGGAATCCCTGTGGGCTTCTATAATCATAGTATCATTTTGGTAAGGCTCAGGCACGGGCAGCAGGTGGGTAAGATCCTGACTTCTGATACCCTTTCCCCATGCCACATACAATCCCTTCACCCCCACACTCACCTACCCCCCAAACTGCAACCATAGATTCAGGATTAGCATTTGTCCCTTCCCAGAGTGATGTTCCTGGCCAGCTACAGGCGAATAAACCTTCTGGCATATTTCTGGGGGTGCTTGGGCCAAAGTATGTGACTTTTCTCATTCTCTCAGGATCTCAGAGAGTTCTTATATTAAATTATTCAAGTGGCCCAGAGAACAAGAGGGGAGTTGATGGTGCATGATGTAAGAGAGGGGTCAGAGGTTGGAAGGGAGCAGAGAGAATTAAGTATTTTTAGTACCTTCTAAGACTTTAACAATCAGTGTCCAAAGGAGAAAGAGCAGAGCTAACAATTCCTACCAAGGGTGCAGGTTGTGGGAATTCAGACATTTCTTCCACAGGATTGCTAATATTATTTGATAGCAAAATTTAGTCTTTTTTGTAGACTTTTTACAGAAGGAAGCTTTTATTTCTACAGGACTTCATTAATTAAGGAAGACACACCCTATTTTGAATTGGATTTCCTGCTAGTTCTGATCGGAGGCATTCTTCCCGGACCAGGGTGAATTCGGTCCCAGTGTTTGCTTGTAAAACTGAATCCAGTCATTGTATTTGCAGCTTGGCTTCCTGCCTGGTATTAAAGTACAGAGCAAACTTCAGCTAGTTACTCCCTGTGATTCTATGTCCTCCATAAAGAGCAGGGAAAGGAGAGGGGAAAACCCAGAGGGTGACTGAGTTCATTTACTTACCACTGCAGAGGGCAGCTGTGTGCTGCCTTGTCATCACATGATTCTTTGGAGAATCCTGATATTCCAGTTACCGGAATAGGAGACAGCCTTTAAAAAAAAAAAAAAAAGCCAACATAAATAAATAAATAAAAAAGACTGGTTCTCTCTTTATGGTTCGAGCATTAGCATTAGCTGCTGAGTAAACCCACTTTGCTACCAAGTACAAGTTAAAAACAGGAGATTTTCTGTTTCTCCCTCTTTTCAAAGTTTTGTGTGTAAAGAAAGAACTTCTATAAGGAGCGATCACAAGGCAGGAATGTGGCACTGGTGGCTGGTCCAACCTGACTGTGCCCACTGATTCATCCTGGATGGAGCCCCAGGTGCTGCAGGCTGCCTTCTGGATTTGTGGGTAAGATCTGCCCTTCTCCCTGGAGTAACAGAAAATATGACTCATGTGCTCATTGTAACTCCAGGCACCCCCGTGACGATACCTGACAAAACTCAGCAGATTGTGGATCAGAAAGGATCATTTCTTCATTAAATGTGAGGGGATCTAGATGAATACAATGGCACCAGCCTGAGTACCCTTAGGAGAATGGATTTATTGTGATTCCCCAAAATTAAACTTAGCGCCCAATTTTATTATTTAATTCTAATCTGGCCCATTGGATTAGAGCCAAGTTACCTTTACTTAAAACTTAGTTTTATATCAGTGGAAGAAATTTGAATGTTTAATTGAGTAAATATCAATAAATTTGAGTTTATTTTAACAACTAGAGGCCCGATGCATGAAATTTGTGCAAGAGTAGGCCTTCCTTCACCCGGCTGCCGGCACCAGCTTCCCTCTGGCACCCGGGACCCGGGCTTCTCTTGCAGCTCCGGCTTCGTCCAAAAGGTCGTCCGGTCTAATTAGCATAATATGCTTTTATTATTATAGATGAACAAGGAGTCTGCTACCTTACTACTACTTTGCTAGGTGCTAAAAGAAAAATATGAACATTTAAGACACAGATTATGGGGAAATCATATACTTCCTTTAGATACAAACCTTAAAAACCAGCAAATTGTCATATAGCAACAGAACATGAACAAAATAAAATTAGGTACCTGCTTGCATATTTTATGGAGATGATACCTTCAGCTGCCTAATGTTCAGAGGAATCAAATGTGCAGAAATGAAGAAATGGTTGACAAGATTCCTAAAGCTGACCATAGGGTGCAGCAGGAATGGTTGCAACTGAACATCCAGGGATGAACATGGCAGTGCTTAAAGGGGCCAGAATGAAGCAATCACAAGTTCTGACTTCCAGTTTCTGGACTGACATTATAAGGAACTTGGAAGTCATCACTCCTGTTTTCACAACAAGAAAAAAAGCAGAACAAACAAAATCAGCAAATCTTTTCGATCCAACTGAATTTTGAGATCACTCTTCTGCCCCCAAAATTGGAGAGCCAGACAAGAGGATGCAGAGAGTCACGGCTTCCCAGAGCAGAAGTCAAGGAGCAAGAACATCCACTGGAACCAGTACCAGGGTGGAAAACCTCCCGTGGCTGGAGGCTGAGCGTGGACAAGCTGGGGAGTTAAAAACTACAAGGGGCCCCAGTCTTGGGAGGTAGGAGGGGCCATACTTTTGTGAGCTTTACTTCCAGGAGCCCTGCCAGGTTCTCATGGTGAAGACTGGAGAAAAATGCTCTCATGATTCTAACTGGGGGAAGGGAAAGTAGCCATTTTGAAATATGCCACAGTATTCTGTTCTTAAGAAGGCCTACTCTCAAGAAAAACTAACCAGACCCTAACTTGAGGTTTTATCAGTGCCCGGCTGACCTGAGGGGAAGGGAATACCCAACTCCACATGGCTCTCATCTCCCTGTCTCAGGAAGGAGGGACAGGCAGAGAAGCAGTTGAGAAGGTTGCAGTCCAGAGGCAAAAGCCTGAAAGCTAATCATAGGGCTGAAGAACATGTCCCCTCTCACCACAGCCTTACCACCGCACCCACAGGGCTCCTGAATAGTAGCAGAGGAATACAACTGAGAGAGCCACGTGTCTCAGACTTTAGCTAAGTAGATGTCTCTAGGGACGTGCAAAGAAAACAGGAGAGACAAAAACACAAACACCAGAGAAAATTTTTTGCTCTGACAACTACAGTTACAACAGACAGTAAAGACAGAGTAACTCCTGGCCTGATAAACATAAAACCTCATGCCAAAAGCCTATATACCTTAGTTCCTTTGACCCAGTGTATCACAGCTGGCTCTTAACAAAAAAATTACAAGGCGTTGTAAAAGCCAAAAGTTATAGTTTGAAGAAAAACAGTGCAGGCATTAGAACCAGACTTCGTTATTGCAGAGATGTTGGAATTAATAAGACTGGGAATTTAAGACAACTATGATTAAAATGCTAGGGATGCTAAAGGAAAAAGTGGAGAACATGCAAAACAGATGGGCTCATCAAGAGAGTGGACATAGCCAAGTAAAGAATTAGTGAGCTTGCAAAAATGTCAATACAAACTTCCAAAGAGGAAAAAAGGGAACATAATATTTAAGAACTGTGGGACAATTACAAATGGTGTAACATATACATAATGGGAATACCGGAGAAAAAAGAAAGGAAAGAAAGAAATATTTAAAGCAATATAATGATTGAGAATTTTCCAAAATTAATGATAGGCAGTAAACTACAGGTTAGGAAACTCAGAGAACATCAAGCAGAATTAATAAAACAAAATCTATACCTAGGCATATCTTATTCAAATGCAGAAACTCAAAGACAAAGAAAAGCATGTATATCCTACAACTTTACTGTATTTGTTTATTATTTCTAATAGTTGTTTGGGTTTTTTTGTGGCGTCTTCAGGGTTTTCTATATAAAAAATGATGTTATCTGCAAAAAGTAATGATTCTGCTTCTTTATTCCCAAGTTTAATGCCATTATTTATTGCTCTTACCTGATTACTCTGACTGGGACTTCCAGAACTATGTTGAATAACAGTGGTGAGAGTGGACATCCTTGTCTTCTTTCTGATCTTAGAGAAAAAGCTTTCAGGTTTTCACCACTGAGTATGATATTAGTTGAGGGTTTGTCATATATGGCCTTTATTATGCTGAGGTATTTTCTGCTATATATACTAACAATGAAATTTTAGAAAAAAAATTACTTTTACAATGCAACAAAAAGAATGAAATACTTAGGAATAAACTTAAAGGATGTGAAGGACCTATATGCTGGAAACTATAAGATTATTAAAAGAGATTTAAAAAGATACAAAGAAATAGAAAGCAATATTTTATGTTCATGGATTGGATTAATCATCATAGTTAAAATGACCATGTTATTCAAAGTGATATACAGATTTAATGCAAAACCCATCAAAATCCCAATGGCAAGTTTTAAAGAAATAGAACAAAAAGTTATCAGATTGGTATGGAGCCATAAAACACCTCAAATAGCCAAAGCAATCCTGAGAAAAAGGAAGGAAGGTAGAGGTATCACACTCCCTAACTTCAAACTATACTACAAAGTGACAGTAATCAAAACAGCATGGTATTGACAAAAAGCAGACACACAGACCAGTGGAACAGAATTGAGGCCCGGGAATAAATCCACATGAATGTGGGCAAATAATCTTCAACAAAGGAGCCAAAGCATACAATGGAGAAAAGGAAGCATCTTCACTAAATGTGCTGAGAAAATTGGAAATCCACTTGCAAAAGAATGAAACGAAACTATTTGCCACCATACACAAAAATTAACTCAGAATGGATCAAAGACCTAAAACAGTAAATTACATAGAAGAAAACATAGGTGCTAAACTTATGAACCCTTGGTCTTATAGAAGATTTAATGAATTTGACCTCAAAGGCAAGTGAAGTAAAATAAATGAATAGGACTATATCAAACTAAAAAGCTGCCACACAGCAAAAGAAATCAACAAAACAAAAAGGCAACCAACTGAATGGGAGAAGATATTTACAAACAATAGCTCCGATAAAGGGTTAATATCCAAAAATATATAAAGAACTCATACAACTCAACACCAAGACAACAAACAATTCAATTACAAAATGGGCCGGGGTCCTGAATAGACTTCTCTCGAGACATACAAATGGCTAACAAATGTATGAAAAGATGCTCAACTTTACTAGCTATTATGGAAATGCAAATCAAAACTACAATGAGATAACCATGTCACACCTGTTAACATAACTATCAGTAACAAAATAAGTAATAAGTGTTGGAGAAGTTGTGGGGGAAAAGGAGCCCCCCTTCACTGCTGGTGAGAATGTAAACTGATACAGTCACCGTGGAAAACAGTATGGAGGTTCTTTAAAAATTAATAGTTACCATATGACCCAGCAACCACTCTTCTGAGTATCTACCCAAATTCTGTAAAATTTGGAAACATTTATCTGTAAAGATATATGTACCCCTTTGTTCATTACAGCAATATTCACAATGGCCAAGACATGAAAATAACCGAACTGTCCTTCAGTAGATGATTGGATCAAGAAGATATGGTACCTATATATAATGGAATACTACTCAGCCTGTAAGAAAAGATAAAATACTGCCATTTGTGACAACATGGATGGATCTTGAGAGTATCATGTTAAGTGAAATAAGTCAGACAGAAAAAATCAAGAACCATATGATTTCACTCATGTGGGATATAAAACTGAAAGCAACAAATGAACAAATAAGACAAATAAACAACTCATAGACAAATACAGCAGCATGCTGGTTACCAGAGGAAAAGGGGTGGGGGAAGGTAGTAAAGGATAAAGGGGGTCAAATACATGGTGATAGGAGATCTGACTTTGGGTGGTAAACACACAATGCAATCCTATATAACAGCAGTTCTCAACCTGTGGGTCGCGACCCCTTTGGGGGTCGAACGACCTTTTCACAGGGGTCGCCTAAGACCATCGGAAAACACATATAGCATATCAGATATTTACATTACGATTCATAACAATAGCAAAATTACAGTTATGAACTAGCAACAAAAATAATTTTATGGTTGGGGGTCACCACAACATGAGGAACTATATTAAAGGGTCGCGGCATTAGGAAGGTTGAGAACCACTGCTATATAATAAAAGCCTAATACGCAAATCGACCCAATGGCAGAATGACCGGTGGAACAACTGGTCGCTATGACGCGCACTGACAACCAGGGGGCAGACACTCAACGCAGGAGCTGCCCGCAGGCCCCAGGCCAGTCAAGGCGGGTGCCAGCAGTGGCCCCCAATCACCCTGCCAGTCACCCCATGGAGGGAGGTGGTGGTAAATGGGCGGTGCCAGGCCAGCCAAGGTGGGTGCCAGCAGGGCCTTCCTCCCTGCCCCCCCCCCCATTGCCTCACCAGTCGCCCCACAGATCGGCCCTGATTGCCAGCCAGGCCTAGGGACCCTACCCATGCAAGAATTTCGTGCATCGGGCCTCTAGTATATAGATAATGTATTATAGAATTCTAACTTGAGACCTATATAATTTTATTAACCAATGTCATTCCAATAAATTTAATTTTAAAAAATAAAAGAAAAACATCTTGGAAGAAACTAGAGGAGGAGAGAAGCAAGGATAAGAACTGCATCAGACTCGAAACCATACAAGCAGGAAGAGGGTGTAGTGAAATAATTTAAAGTATTAAAAGAAAAAACTCACCAGTCTTGAATCCTTATCTAGCAAAAGTATCCTTAAAAAATAAAAGAGAAATAAACACTAGCTCAGACAAACAAAATCTTAAGGAATTTTTGACAGTAGAACTGCCTTTTAAAAACGTTAAATTCTTCAGAAAGATGGAAAATAAAACAGGTCAGAAACTAGGATCTACATAAAGGAAGAATTTTAGAGAAGGAATAAATGAAGGTTAAAGAAAATATATCTATTCTTAATTGATCTAGCAGATAACAGTTTGTTCAAAATAATATTAGCAACAATGTATGTCCCAATTTTAGCTTATATCTGAGTGAAATGAATGACAGCTATGTTATAAATGACTGCAGGGATGAAATGAGAATATTTTGTTATAAAGTATGTGTACTATCCATGAAGTAATAGTGTTATTATAAACTGGATTAAATTAG